TAGTTGAATATAACATTACAGTAAAATTGAATTAAAGTGCGCTATTCAACTAAAATAAGTGAAAGAATCTATTTAATTATCGAATCCACTGAAAAAATATATTTCGCAAATAAAAGGTTCTAACCTTATCATTTCTCTTTTTTCTTATACGACTCCACTATTAAATCAACCAGTGATTCAAATTCACCTTTATCAACTTCTTGAAGATAATTAATCGAAATATCCAAACCTCTGATTTCTAAAAGAAAAGCTTCAAGATCAATATCTTTCTTTTCTATTATCATCACAACAAAATTATAAACCTTCCTCCAACGTGAAATTTCTGTAACCATTCTATCGGGAATAGATTCTCTAATCAATTTAGTTATTGTCTTATTTCTTTCAAGATCAGAAATAAAAGTTTGCTTTTGTATATCATAATATAATGTTTCAAATTAACAAACTCTACTAAAAACATCAGCATAATTTATATCTATTTTAAGCTGTTTTTTATTTTCTTGTAGCTTTTGATGAACATTTCTTCATTCGCTTGAATTATAACTATTCGATATTTTTATTGCTGGTATAGTAGAAGGATATAACAACGGACTTTGACTTTTAATTCATGATTCAAAAATAGCTGTATTAAAATTTTGCTTTTTATTCTTTGACATTTTTTGAGCGAACGTGCATAATGAAAAAAGTATTTGGGAATGGCACATTACTTATAAGTATAAGCTATACATGTTGATAATCATTATATTAAAATTATGGGATATCAAATCTTAGTTTTGCATAATCTCAATTTTAAATCTTGGCCAAATTTAGATTGAAAACTACAGTAACTAGCTTACGGATCACATTACTAAAATTTTGACAAAAAAAATTTGCAACGCAGGCAGTGAAAAATAAAAATTCACATACAATATGAATTTAATATTAAGTGAGTCTATTTTACAAAATACAGGTGTTCAAACTATTTACCACCATATACTATACGCAAAAAAACAAAATTAATCCAAGACGAATAAATAACAACTTCCAGCTATTTTTTCAGAAAAAAATCTATTATATACCAAAAATCCCAATTTTGACCTTTACTTTTAAATGATTTAAACTTGCTGAAAATTAAAAGATTTAAATTTTACTTGTTTTTAATATTTATATCGGCACTAATCCTTCATATTCTGGATGTCCAAATCCTCTTATGTAAAAAAAGTTTTTAATAATTTGTATTAAATCTTCTTTCTTTTGTATTATAAATATATCCAAAGGTTTAGGTTGGTCAATTCCAAAAGCTCTATGGATAATTGGCTCATAAGGATCGGTATATAAATATGAATGCTTCGACTTATAGATCCTATAAAAATTTGATAAAAATCAGTACAAACTTCTATATACCAGCTGGAGAAAGCCAAAAATATACTTATAAACATATTATTAAAATTATTATAATCTCAACTAATAATAAAAAAATGAGAATATTTCGGCAAGTACACAATTTTACAAGAATTTTTCTTGCATATTCAGTAATGCAAACAATATATGATAGCAAAAAAAATATTAAAGAAACTAATTTCTTATGAGCAATCATTTTCAATATTTTTAAATGACAAAAATTCTAATAAATTACATCATATTCTTTATATATTTTAAAACGGATCGCGTACAATTGAGTAACAGATCAGCATTTATATTATAAATTCTATATTCATACAGAACTCGGAGTTTCATTTTATTTTGTAAAATAGGTAATACGAATAACCACGGTGAAGATAGTGAAGATAGCATAAATCCCTTATTTGAAAAGTACTTTCACGAAAAATGAAACATTGAATTTATTTTTATACCAATCTAATTGTTTTCGGATTTTTTTTAATACATTTATCATCTCTTGTTTTTTTCTTCATAATAATACACCTTTATTTTCATCTAAATGAATTGAATCAAAATTCTAACTGAGATTATTCATTGCTTCATGTAAACCTTGGTTTTTATTTCTAAATTTATTAATTTCATCTTGCAAGCCTTGATTTTCATTTTTCAATTTATTAATTTCATCTTTTAAGTTCTTGACTTTAGTAATCAGACTTTCAATTTATTTAAATATTATACATTTTTAATCTTGTTTACACGAGAATTAATTGAACGAAATCTAATATATCTCTTTCGTCACAGCAAGACAGATCTTTTTTGAATACATAGGTAATTATCTTTTCAGAAAACGCACGCACAAGATTTAATTATGTATCTTTCACTTACCAGTATAAGAGTATGATTTTATTTTTATTGACTGATATTAAACAAAAAATAATAATTTAATAATGCGTCCAGTCATTATGTTTGTTGCTTTCTAGGCTATGAAGTGATTGAAGAAAATTATCTTTTATGTTTTTTTTGTTTTTTTTTTTTTTTTTTTTTTGATACCTTTTGAAAAGAATAATGTTTTTTCTCTAATTAAAACTCAAAATAAATAAACTCATATTTGATTATTGATTCAATTTTCAAGTTTAATTTTGTTCTTCAAATGATGTATCGAGTAAAGTTAAAGTCACGCAAAAATCAAGATCGAAATGCATCACTTTCACGTGATTAATTAACCATTATGATTGGTTAACTACATGACGTTGTTGTTATTATAAAAAATTTAAAACTAGATTATCACATGATTAATAAATTCTATAAATATAATTTTGAATTTTCGATGTTTTGTTGATCTTTTTTTTTAACACGATATGTCTTCCACTTCCAAAAAATAAGTATGAGTTTTGAGCGAAATATCAAATTCTCTATCAAATTATTTTGAAGATCCCCATTTAGAAAATGCGTCAGCTTACAAAAATGCGTTAGCTTACTTTGAGCAGAAGCCAGATACAACATGGGGTCTTTTAGATTTCCTTCAATTTAGAAAAAAACAAAAAACGTGGACAAAAAATAAAGATGTAGAATTTAATTTATTCAATCAATGCCTTTTGGCCAACACCAAAAATATGGAAATTGCTATTCAAACCTTTATGATTAGAAAATTTGAAGTAAGTCGCTCAAAATGACTTACTCTCACTTCTTGTCTCGTCTGTATTAACAGACGTTGCAATTTTCTCTTCACTATCTTCATTTTCAACTTGGCCTCATCTGTATTATACACAGGGTGTTGCAAGTTAACTTTTTTTTAACTTGGCATCACTTGTATCTCACAAGGTGTTGCAAGTTTTTCGATATGACCAAATTCCTTTAATTAAGAGTGGCTTTATTTTTTTTGGAATGAAAAAAAAGGTTCTCATATAAAAGGCATTTTTGGGGATCATCCAACAGTCACACTTTCTAACAACAAAAGTCTCAGAATTTCAAGTTGCTTGTATCCGGAAAAGTAGGTCATTGAAAATATTTTCTGTGGTTAAGATTGTAAAACATATGATTTTTAATAAAAATTATTCAGTTTGGTACAAATCAATGGAAACTTGAATCAGGAAATACCCTTCAAGAAACATTAGCGTCGTATTGGAAAAACAAATAGAATGAATTTAATAATCTTGATTTTGATGATCCGTTTGTATCTGGAATTATTTATTTACCTTTTTTACCATAGCTTAATGAACTTCTTTCAACTGAAGATACTATTGAATTGAAGAATGATTCAAGCTTTATACACCAATTAACTAATGATTGGTGGTTACCTTATTTTCAAAAAATTCAATCAAAAAATAAAAACCTAGTATTTGAAGATCAAAGACTATTCTCCATATTTTGTCAAAGGATGTGTTTGCATTTGTAAGCGTTATTCTTAAGATATAAAATTAGATCATTACTTTAATACATTAACTTCAAATAGTTTAGACTTGGTGGAGACTGGGATGTATGAAGAACCTGATCCTTTACTTAATGAAAGAACTTGGCGACATGATGCATATGACTTGTTTAAATATCTTCTCGACCCATTAATTAGCCAAACCAAAAAAAATGAACATGTCATGAAGTTGAAACGTTATTGGTGTGTATATTTTTTATAACATAATCTTAAACTGAATCTTTGAAAATGAATTTTGGAATATTTAGGGCAGAAGCAACTTTAGAGCATCTACAGAAAGAAAGACAAAAGCTCAAATAACTGAATCATTTAGAATTTACATAAGCAATCTTAAATTCTACTAAAATATTTATTATATAATAGAATAAAACTATTAGAGGAAGGATGGTAGATTTTGTTCTACGTCTCAAAAAGTGCAGAAAACAAAAATCTTGAACTTTTTGTATATAAAATTGCTAGTGGCCCATACAATTTGAAATCAGATAAAATTTTGTCTGATAAACGTAAAGTTTTTCGAGAACTTCAAGATATGTTGGCAGAAATAATTGGATATTTTATAAACAATTATAGCGATCGGTTTACTGATAATATAGTAAATAAACTTCATCAAATAAAAGTATATGCTGCTATTAGATTCGGTAAATTTCGTAATTAAAAATTATATAAAAATTACTTAACATTATTATTTTATTAAAAAATGATTTATTTTGTAGGGTTTCAAATATCTTTTTACTCATTAGATATGAAAAAAGGAATAAATATTTGTTATCCATTATCTACGATTACCATTCCAAAAATGTATTCTGAAGTTAATTATTTGAAGATATTGATTGAAAATTTTTGGTGTCTTAGAGTATATTCATTCGAATTCTACAATTGCAAAGTTAATTCAAAATTAATTGTTCATTTCTTTGCAGGATGCCTTACAAGAAATGATTGAACTAGTTATTGAAATTAATGAAAATCTTGAACAATTGCATGAATCAAGACCCAGTAAAAATGTAGAAGATTTTTTACAATACTGGAATATTTATGCGCCGAAAACTGTAACCACACCAAAAATTTATTGATCTTAATTTTTTACGAAATTTAATTCAGTAGTAATTTTGGTAAATAATGAATGAATTGATATAGCCGCAAATTTAAAATATCAAACAAAAAATGCTTGAAATTTTCATGTTTTGAATCAAGTTCCCGTGACCATTAATCTTTTAAAATTGGTCAAATTTTTTAAAATTGGTCAAATTTCTAGATTTTTATTTATTGATGATTGGTTTACTAGGTATTCTCTGAGAAATCTTCGTTAAAATATTTAAGATTAAGTCGTGAGGTCTATTTTAATTTATTATTTTGATTGAAAATTTAATAAAATCACTGGATCACGTGAAAGAAAGTCACGTTCAAATATTCTTAAATATAATGTTAGTTAAAAAGGCCGTTTTATGAAATTCGCACTTTACTAAATTTTAAGTACATTGAGATTGGTTGATTTTGGGGTCTAAATCAAATCGGCCGATATGGGAGCAAAACGTAAAAATTAACATCGTGCGTGAATCAAATTAAATACTGGTATGGTGGTGAAATTACATACCAAATAAATAAATACATCTAATATAATTTCAAACAGGAAAGCTCCCAAAGTAAAAATAACAACAAATAATAAAAAAGAACGAATGAGGCGTGAATTTTATAAAATCACGAAATTTTGATTGCGGAGTAATTTCGCCTAATTTACACTAAATTTATTAATTCATTGTAGAATTTATTTTGTTCAAAATCGTGAAAATACATCTAGCGTAAAATAATTCAAACACTAACAATAAATGAATACAGGTAAAAAAGATAAACAAGTAGAATGCATGCCCTATAAATCCTGATCTCGCAAAGTGATGAATTTTAAGTTCTCCTACAAAAAAAACTTAAATATAAAAATCTTAATTAATACTCTAATTTGAGGTATCAATTTAATCAATTTAAAAATTATGAAAAACTTTTGTACCTAAAAGACAAAACTATCTAATGCGATTCAAACCAGAAAACCAACTAAAATCTGCAGTAAAAAGGAAGATAAAAATGAACAAATATTTAATAAGTCGAAAAAAAACTTGAGGCTCCGATCTCACAAAGTGGTAAATATTGATTTCAACTTCGAATAAGACTGCAAAATGTAAAATAAAATATTTGAAACAAACATTTTAAACATTCGGTGAAAATTAATTATTTAGATATTACCTGAAAAAAGGGTCAATCCTAGAATATTCAAGTAGGAAATAAACCCAGTGTTAACAAATGAATGCCAATTCCATATCGAAATTGCTAATCTCAAAATGATTCCAAGATCCACGATTCTTGTATTAATATATAAAGGTAGTGCCGTGTAAAAACAAAAAAGTAAAAGTAAGTTTATTTTGATGACGTTATGGCTATAAATGTTAAAGAAAAAAAAATTCAGCATTATTTTGGAGCAAGGCAAAACTAATGTGGCAAAATTAATAACATACTGTAACATTAAGACAATTTCAATCCAAGATCCAATTAAATGTTGTAATTCCTAAGAATGCAAAAAAAAAAAAAAAAAAAAAAAAAAAAAAAAAAAAAACTAATTCAACTATAACATGATGGCCAACACAAATATATTATTGTATGATTAAAAAATAAAATAAACGAACGTTAACAATATACAAAGTTCCGGAAACAAGACATCCAAAAGTTAGGTAAACTTTGAGTAAATGAAGCCACACTTCATCTCGTTCTTTAATCATTTTTACAAGTTAGAGATAAAATGAGGCATGTCCTGATAATTTCTATTAAATAGTATTATATAAAACCGAGAAAATCATACTATAAGCAAGTTTTAATATAGTAAACTATAAGTGTGTTTATACTATATATACAATATATATAACATGTGAGAATATATATCGCAGATCATATATAAATATTGAAACTATTTAACGTTGTTTTCCTATAATATTATCTTTTTATATTATATAATTTAAACGAATTTATATATTTTTTAATCTTTACTGTAAAGATTAGGTATTAAATTGCCTTTTTACTTATTTTTATAACGTCATTTAGTTGTTGAATCAAATTTTTTTTTTTACTAATAGGATCCAAGAGGGGTTGATGTTTATATATTCTTTTAGCAGCATATTTCAGTTAAAAACGTCTTTTATTTGTCTTGTTGCTTACACGAGAATTCATCGAACTGAAATCTGATAAATTGACTCGCTCAAGAATTCAAAAGTCGTGTTAACTTTGAATAAATGATACCATACTTGTTGTTTAAAATCTTCTTGACTTGTATTCATTTTTACACAAGGCTGCAAATTATATAAACATTATTTATTTAATATACTATATATTAATATATACCCAGTAAGAATCTTATATACTGTGTATTATTTTTTAAAGCAAGGTTTTTGTTTCCAGTTATTTATTCTGTATACGCATATACAGTAAACTATATAATATAAGTTATATATATATATCAGCATATTGCAGATCTTATATATTTTATATTAAACGTTTTCTAGTTACACGGGAATTCATCTGAACTGACAGTTAGTAAAACTAGTTTATTCAATATATATATAATTTATTAAACCGAAATTTTTATAAATTGTTGTTGCTTATTACTTTTTTCCTATATCTTTTTCAAAGAAAGATTGATATAATGAATTTGAATGATAATCTCGTTAAATTTTTGGTTTCACGCCCAGGTAAGAACATAAAATATGATGGTTTTTATATCTATTGACGTGACTTATGTGATCGACTTGAACGCGTTTAAAGCTTACTTTAATTCATGACAAAGTCAATAAGTTAACGTATTCTTACCTGCACTCTAGATATATCAGTTTATGATGCATTGAATTATTTGAAAAGGTATAAATCCTCAAAATATTGTGAATAATTTCGAATGAATTTAATTCAAATATATGGTATCACCATTTACAGTGCAAGTTCATACTCCTTCAATTCGGTCGATGATGATTTTATTCTATATGATATGACGCGTGAACATAGGCATGAAAAATCCTTCGTCAATTGTTCTAAATTATAGAAAAACCTTTAATAATTTCATCTTCCTTTATATCAAGACCGATCGGAGACAAACAACTTGAAATTTTCAATCAATCCTTATTTGAAAGCAAAGGTAAAGAAATTATTGGTTCACATGCATTTTTAATGATAGCCCGATGACAGATCCTAATTTGGCAGCATTGTATTGGAAATGCAGATTTTGATGCAATGATAAAGTATGAACCAATTGTTAGTTATGTTCAAACTGCAAAATTGTTATTATTGCTGATCTTGGAAATGTCAAATTTGAATTTTTGTTATGTACCCTAGTACTAAAGAAACATACGAAGTTTATGATGATGGTAATAACTCAGTAAGGTAAGGTCATTTTCAAGACAAAAACCCAATTTGCTTCATTGAATTAATTAATAAAGAAACTATTTAGCTTACTAGAAATTTATTTATCAACATTCCTTAGAAAAAAGAGTTGTAAAAAAATTAGCACAGATGAAGTTAGAAAGAACAAGGTAAAGGAAGAGCAACAAAGACGTAAACAAATTGTGTGTCTCTAAATTTTCAAAGCTACCATATTTCTGCGAAATAACGCAATTTCGAATTTCGGCATAGGT